GGGGTATCTGTAAACCACTGTATTGCTTACTGACTGAATAAATCTATCATCTAATGCTTCAGTCGCATTATATTTATACCTACTTACCATAGAATAACTCCTTTTGCATTCAGTGTATGCTTTTTTAGAATGTGTCCTGTTTCACACCACATGTGTACATGCCAAGAGTTTAAGGGTTTTATTTAAACACCTCCAACCCCTAATATATGAGTCCTTTGCACTAAATTTACCTGCAAACAGCTTCCCATGAAGTTCCAATAAAGCAAAGTCCAGCATGAGCTTAACTAACTAAAATACCAAATCCAAAGACTAGGCACAAGTCCAAAGACATGATATCCAAATCCAAGATATGAGTCCAGAGTCCAAGTGCAGAGTTAAGAAACAAGATAGGCATCCATAAAACCAAAACATAGACACAGCAGGAGATTGAACTTTTGTTTCGGGTGCCATGCTTCTCCACCCTGGATACACGCTGGTGCAGGGTGAGGCTGTCTTCTCCCAAGTAGCCTCTCCAATTCCCATTGCACCTGCCTTATTTCAACTCTGTGTGATCCGGTGGATGAGGCAATTCCTCCTCATCCCAGCTGGCTGGTTGCAGTTATGTTCCTTCTTGATCCTGCTCTTTTGACTATATCCCTGAGCTCTCCAGCTGCAGCTGCATCTCTCCCATTTTTTCTTCAGCCAGGTGCTTATTTGGTTGTTTCCCCGATGGTCCTTCCAACATTCCTGGCATTTCTTCTTCTACTGCTACATTTGATCCTTCGGTGTTTTCTTGACACTCCTCCACTCCCTCCTCCCAAGTCCCTTGATTGGCTTTTCTTTGTCTGAGCCAGAATCAGGAAATGCTGACACTATTCTCTCTCACCCCAACATGGCCCAATCTCCCAATCCAGGCCATCTATGTGGAGTGGTGGGAGCTGCAGGAACCAGGAGAGACTGATGAAACATAGAGTGAACACAGAACCAGGCAGGAGAGTCAGAGTCAGCTTATCAGCCACTGGATTGGTGACTGCCTCTACAAGAAAGGGGCCCAAGAACCAGTGAGCCAACTTCTTGGAGGGACACAACAATGGGAGATTCTGGATTAAGAGCCAGATCATGCTTTCCATCTCCAAGGAAGGCATTGAGCACCAGTACCAACCTGCAAACTTCTTCTGATCCTCCATGGCCTTGGCCTTCAGGATTTGATGTAAGGTCCTCAGCTCCTAGGGGAAGTCTGCAGCAGCAAGCAACAGAGTCTGACATGGTCAAGGGGAACAGTTAAGGATGGTAGCTGTAGGCATCCAGGAACAGGGACACCTGTTTGGATACCTGCCAATGGTGGGATTCAATTTTTTTTTACTACCGGTTCTGTGGACATGGCTTGGTGGGTGTGATGTGGCTTGGTAGGTGTGGCAGGGGAAGGGTACTGTAAAATCTCCATTCTCACCCACTCCAGGGGGAAGGATATTGCAAAATCCCATTCCCTCTCTACCCCACTAACCTGCTTTCCAGCTCTGTTCTCCCGTGCAGGGCAACAGTCAGAGGTGGTATTGCCGGGTCTCCAAACTACTCAAAATTTCCATTACCGGTTCTTCAGAAGTGGTCAGAACCTGCTGAAAACCACGTCTGATACCTGCTATGAGTTATTTTACACAAATTCAATAACTGTGACCAGGTCCAGCCAGTTGTGCTAGTGGAAGTTTATAAAACAATACAGGCAACATTGCATTCACTCCAGCATTGCATTCACTCATTCCATGCCTCTAGGTGGCATGTTGAATAGAATTACAGCTACACTTTAAAATTGGTCAGAAGCATCTGCCAAAAACCAGGCCATGAATTGGACCCCATGCTCTGTCACAACTTTTTTGGGCAAGCAGTGGAGCCATAACATATGCTGGATGAACAACTAGGCCATTTCTTGTGTTGTTGGGAGAATGAAGTGGGCCATTTTAGACAGCATGTCCACCACCGTGAGAATCATTGTGGCCCCTCTTGGAACTTGGTTCATGATGAAGTTTATGGTTTCTGCAAGGATTGGCAAGGGTTGTAACAGTCACAGTGGAGCACCTAGGACACTTGGCATGGAAGCATTTAGGACAGGAAGCCATATAGCTCTCCGCATCAAGACATCTTCAGGGCTACCAGAAAATTCACTCCATCAAGTGGAGTGTCTTGAAAAACCCCAAAATGCCTGACTGCCAGATTATCATGGCATTGGCATAATACTAATCCTCATGACAGCCATTAGGAATATAGATCCATCCTCAAGGAGTAAGTCCATGACCAGGGACTGGGCCACCACTAATTCAGCTCAACTTTGTGGGTAATCATGAAGGTCTTGCCATAGCTTATCCCAAATCCCCTCTTTGACATCCATTAGGGTCTGGGGTATGGCAAACTTTTCCAGTGGGATCAGCATTTTGTCTTTCAGGACACCATTTTGTCTTTAGTGTGGATGTGCTGGGGTTTCCAGGAGAGGATGCCCACCCTCTGAATTTGTCCACCCAGGGTGTACATCACTCCAAAATAAAATTGGGTAAAAAACTGAGACCCCCGGTAAAAAACTGAGACCCCCGATATTTGTCACTGGTTTAATCATATGTTTCACATTCCAGTGGTCAGTACATGCTTTTATCTGGTAGCATGCCCCTTCTAGATGTTGTTTTCACATCTCAAATACCACTTTCACCACTAACAACTCCTTGTCCCAAATTGTGTAATGGCACTCTGCAACATTCATTTTGCGCAAATAATAGGCACGAGGGAAGAGTTGCCGGCTGGAGGGTTTGTTCCAATGCAACAAACACCAAACCAAGGTAAAAGCAGACCCTTTCAATGCATCTCTGTAAATTCCATTCATTCACAGTTAAAAGGTTATGAAAACTAATTGTCTCTGATATGAACAAGCCTTGCCAAGGTTGTGCACAGCTGCCAAGAACACTAGATTAAGTTGCCAAGAAATATTCAAAACAAAAAGTTTCCAAACAAAAAGTTTCCAAATACAAACCAGGATAGTCCGAACGTCCACAAGGCTTGAAGTACAAGAACTTCTTTGCTTCCTGCAAAGAATCCTGGTCTCTCAGGCTGGCTTTTATCACTTAAGGAAGGGGACATTCTTGCAGCCTTACTCCCAAGTCACCCATGCTGCTGCAGCTGTTCTTTCCTTCAAGCAGCCCTGCTTGTATTGGGCACAGGTTCCTCTGCATTACTGTTGCCAGCCTCCACAATCTCCGAAGGCAGCATTCCATTTTCTGATACTCCTGGCTCCATCCCTGCATAACATGCAGGTCCCTCATCTGAGTCCTCACTCTCTGAGGCCCCAACCGTCCACACCTGCTGCCGACAAACAACAACACACTGCCCCTCACAATGGTGTCTGAAGTATTGGTCTCATCAATGAAAGTCATTGCCAGGAGTTTGTTCCTCACTGGCTCAAGGTTAACTCAGCCTTCCATCCTTCTGAGGTTGCTAAAATGATTGTTGGGCAATATGCTGATTATATAGACCAGATGTATTAAACATGTGGCCCATGGTGGGATCTGGCCTGCAAAATGCCCAAAGTTGTCCCGCAGGGCCATCCCAGAAATGGCAAGGGGCTAGCCTTTGCCACCCCAGCCCCAGCCCAACCCTGGCCATGCCCATCCAGTCAGCTGCAACAGATTGATATGGCAGTATGAACCTGGTATCTGATTACACTTGCAACATTTACCTGATAAATTTTCATACATCTTCACTAATCTCGCTGGTGGTAGATGCCACCTATAAAACATTGTATATATGTTCTCCTTATAGGCCATTGACATTGTTAACTTACAATTTCTATCCTACAGTTTCTGCCATTTCTCTAATTCTATTGGTTAGCCAAAAATTTAGCCCATGTTATAATTGTTTCTTTCAGTTTTCTTCTTCCAATTTAATACTCTATAAATAATTGTACATTTTTATTAGTTAGTAATTGATCTAATTCTGTTAGTTTTATATAAAATCCCTGGATTCTTGCGTTTTTCTCATATCTTGATTGTATTTGCACATATGGCCACCATGCTAAATCAGTTGATTGGTCAGTTCTTTTTTAGATTTGAGCTCCCCTTCGTCGTTTAAAATATCCTTATATCTTACAATTTTTTTCACATCAATCACATTAGGATGTATCAGTGCTTCCATTGTGGAGCACCGGACTGGTATTTTCATAATGTCTTTCTTTAACTTTTCCCTATACTAACAACAATGCCTTTCTAACAAAATGTCTTTGAAAGTATCCATGCATTTTAATGGTTGATCTCTTAAATGTTGTGTGTTTTTGTAAATTTAATCATGTTCAATGAGGAGAGAACTATCTTCACCTTGTGGCAATTTGTTTAAATTCACCATTCCTACTTTTGGCTAAATAAACAAGAAGGATTAGCTTTCAAGTCAAAGGGTTTATTTGTTTTAGGTAATAATAATAAGCTACTCTCAGGCTACAGGGAAATGAAATCTATATTACACATGAATCAAAGTATGAACATGTATTATATATTCTACATTATGGTGTCTGTGTAAACTAACAGAGGCAATGAAATGTTGATTAATTTTGGTTACTAGACACACTAAAACTATTTCATAAAAGGCTGGCATCAAAAATAATGATTTTTTTAAAAACAAATCTTAAATTTTAATTACATTTATTTTAATCAGATTAGAATGAAATAAATCTTCATTTTTGGCCTGGATCCATCCAATCTAAATTTGGGGTTGATGTCCTGTCATACTATTGAGAGGTTAAAAACACACTTTGGCCTGAAAAAGCTTGTGTGTTTTTTAATCAGATTCTCTGGATGAAATCCAAATTCAAATGTTAGTAATAGCAGTACTAATGGTAGTGATATTGCTAGTCATATTAGTACAGTCACTTATGATATATATTTCATTTTTTTTTACTCTTTGGATCTCTTGGATTTCTGATACTTTAGAACCTTGAATTTAGCATTGGAAATGTAGGGGTGATGGAAGAATATTTCTTTTCTGTTGCTAAGTTAAATTTCACGCTTGATGGCCCGAAGGTACCGATGCTTCCCATTCTTTTTACAGTCTGTGAACAAAGTCACCAAGTTTATCTTATCAGGGTCTATAATCAGTTCAAAAGTGAAATGCTGAAGCAGCGTGGTAAAGAACAGGAACAATTCCATATCAGCCAATGCCTCTCCTGGACATGCTCTCTTCCCTGTTAAAAAAGAAGACAATTAGTTATTAATTGACAATTAATGTTAATTAGTCATTTGTTGAAATGGGCAGGCTATAGAAATCAAATAAAAACATGCATATATACATAATGTCTTTATGGGACCCAGAAAGTAAGGCATCATCTCAGATTAGCAGTGGAAGGTGAAAAACACTATTTCAGGAAGAACATTTTATAGCTAGAGTGCTTGGAAAATGGAGATTTTGCAGTAACCTTCCCCTTGAAGTGAGGAGGGAATGGGAATTTTACAGTATCCTTCCCCTGGAGTGGGTGAGAATGGAGATTTTACAGTATCCTTCCCCTGCCACACCCACCATGCCACACCACACCCACCAAGCCATGCCATGCCACAGAACCAGTAGTAAACAATTTTGAATCCCACCACTGGCCACAAACATTCTAAAACATCTGAATCTTTTGAAATGACCTACCATTTAATGTGTACTTTGCTCTTAAAAATAAAAAAAAAGTAATAATAATTTACATGAAGTTAACACACAAGACTTAACAATGTTATTTAGGTAACTACCCTGTAAGGCAGGGCTATCAAACTTGTTGCCCGTGGGCCAGATGCTGACCACACTGATGACCAGTTTAGCAAAGGGGAAAAAGTCATGATATGTCATGTGATGCCGTCGCAATGATGGAAGTTTGACACCCTGCTGTAAGGCCTATTTGACTTACATTCAAATTGACAAGGAAAATTGTGCCATGGAATTGAGGTGATTCTTTTTTCAAGAAGCAAAGAAGCAAAACATGATCTGCTTTGATGAAATTTCCCCCTTTTCTGCCTGTCACTTGCTCTGCAAAGCACATCTAAGTACAGTAGAAACCTCTGGCTTTCAAAAGGGCTTCCGTAATAGGTGAGTGGCAGACCCTAACTGTCAGGAAATTTCTCCTTTGTTCTGTTTCTCTCCTTGATTAGTTTCTAATTAGTTTCTAGAGTCTAAACATCTTTTTTAAATCATGGCAATCAAAACTGGATGCAATATTAAAAGTGTGGTCTTACCAAGGCATTATAAATCGGTATTAATACTTCATGTGATCTTGATTCTATTCCTCTGTTAATGCAGCTTAGGACTGCATTGGCTTTTTTGATAGCTGCAGCACACTGTTAGGTCATACCTATATGATTTTCCAGTAGAATTCCAAGATCCCTCTCACAGTTACTCTTATTGAGCCAGGTACCATCTATTATATACCTATGCATTTGGTTTTTCTTGCCTAAATGTAAAACTTTACTTTTCTCACTATTGAATTTCATCTTGTTAGACCCAGTGTTTGGGTCTGTCAAGATCTTTCTGTATTTTGAGCCTATGCTGGAGTATTGGCTATTCCTGCCAACTGCAGGGATTTGTATCATCTGAAAATTTGATTAGTTTCCCTTCTATCCCCATCTAAATAATTGATGAAGGTATTGAAGAGTACTGGACTTAAGACAAAGCCTTTGACTACCCCTCTGCATACTTCCCTCCATGTAGATGCAGTTCCATTAAGGACTATATGTTGAATGTGATTGGTCAGCCATTACAAATCCATCTGGTAGAGATGCTGTCTAACCCATTTTTAAAAAAATCTTGTCTACCTTATCAGATACCTTATTGAAGTCCAAGTAAATTATATCCACAACATTTCACTTGTCCACTAATTTAGTCACTTTGTCAAACAATGCAGTAAGATTTGTTTTGCATGATCTCTTTTTGACAAACCCATGTTGGCTTCTGGTTATGATTTAGTTTGCTTCCAGGTGTTCACTCATTCATTCCTTGATTATCTTTTCCAGAATCTTTGCCAAGTATTGATCTCAGGCTGATAGGTCTATAGTTTCCTGGAGACATTTTTCCCTTGTTTTTGAAGATACATCAACCCTTTTCCAATCCTCTGGTAGTACCCTGCTATTCCAGGATCTTTGAAAAATATGGCTCAGTGGTTCTGAGTTCACATCTGCCTGTCATTCATCTGGTCCTGGTGATTTGAACTCATCTAGTGTGGATAGGTCTCTTACCATTTTCTTTTGACTTTCGAATTTCATTCCTAATTTGCATTTTACAGTAATTTTTTTAATAGATTGGGCTGTTTTGATTTGTTTTTGTATAAAGACAAAAAATGAGTTAATCGGTTCTTCTTTCTCCCTGCTGCTCATCACCTTCTTGTCATTTTCTCCCATTAATAGACCAATCTTTTCCTTGACTTTTTTCTTGTTTCACACATGTTAAAAGAAGCTTTTTAAAAAATAATTTTTGACTTTCGTTGCAAGTTCATCTTGAGCTTAGCTTTCCTGATTCCATCTTTACAAGTTAGGACTATTTACTGATATTCTGCCTTAGTTATGTGCCCCTATTTTTATACTTGTCCTTTTTGTCTTTCAGTTTATCTTGTGCAGTCATTCTGGTTTCTTTTGAGATCTCTTTCCTCTGCATTTGAATTGTGCTAGATGGGCTTTTATAATCTCACTTTTCAAAACTTCCCAAGCTTCTTGTGTTGTTTTCCTTCTGAAGATTCTCATCCATGTAATCCTTCTCAAGCTCTATGTTTATTGAAATCAGCTCTCTTGACGTCCAAAACTCTAGTTTGACTGTCAGAATTCCAGCGATTGCCCTAATTAAATCATGAATCTCAGGCCAAACTTCAAAGAGCGACCTACTGGCATGATCTGTGTGAAGCCAAGTCTGAGATGCTTAATTTATAATCACCTATGACCTTGTTTCTCCCCACCCCTCTGGGTGTATCATAATTCATATTGTCCAATGGAACACATTCACGGGCTAGGTGTCATCAGTCATGTTCTCCAATAGAGGATTTCATGCTCAGAATATCCAGTTGCCTCAATTACAATTTCTGTAAAATAAGCTTGGAATGTTCATTTGCCATCTGCTCCTTAAGGGTTCCCTCCCCTTTCATATGGCAACTTGGAAGCCAGCATAGGAATATTTATAACTTGACATTGACTTCTATTGCTTATGCTTGCATAATGTTGAATTCCAGTATTGCATGGTCACTTCCTTCCCTGAGGGCCCTGTAGCTTCAACACTACCTATTATTTTATCTCTGTTAGTGAGAATTAAGTCCAATATGGCTGACTTCCGTTCTCAACCGTTTGAAAGACATAGTTATCTGCTAGGTTTGTGAGGAATCTGTTTGATCTTCTACTAGGTATAAAGCTTATTTCCCAGCTGATGTCAAGGTAGTTAATGAGAAATTGAGAAATAAGAAACACTTAAGAAAACTGTTCTTGAAGGTTAACCTAGAGAATGCAAAACCTACACTGCTGTTTAATGTTTGTTTATTTTTTTAAAAAAAACCTAAGATGATGTCATTTGACAATGCAAACTCAATGCAGGTAAATGGAAAAGAGACTATAGGAAGAACATTTTATCATTCTGTTTTAAAAGGTTAGTGATTGTTACTATGAAATAAAGAGATGTTGGCTACTTGGGAGAAAAATTATGACAAATGCTTGAATAGCGTAGGAGCATCTTAGTAAATTGAATTTCAGGTTTTTTTTTTTCACTTCAAGACCAAGGCCTCCTGCATTTTTCTGGGATGGTAAAATCAGAGGGAAGGGGTTGCTACATATTTTGACCACAGTGCTAGGAAGAAGCACTAATTTTCACTCCACTCCCCCTCCCCACTATCCAATTTCCCTCTCCTCGCAGTAGATAGAAGCCTCTCCTCCCTTCTCTTCCATCCATGAGGTAACAGAAACTAGGAAGAAGGATAAAAGAAAAAAGTAATGAGAAATGATTCATGGAACTTTGTTTTTTTTAATAAGACAATTGTAGTGAGATTATTATAAACTCAAAATTGGAAACATTACCCACAATGGAGAAATGGCTGCTGAAGATGATGATTACTGTAGTGGCTAAATTAACTTTGGTTAGAGAAAAAAAAATAGATTCATTTTATTGCTGCCTGGAAACCTTGTAGATTCTTTTATGAAACAGAAAAAACAAATCACTTCTGATTGGTTGCTTCAGTGATAATGAAAAAATGGATAATAGAAAAAAAGAGCTTTTTGTAATTTTAGAGTAAGATAACTTTACAATCATATTTGTATTTACTGCAGAGATTCAAAGAAAATCAGAAGCCTCAAATTTCTTATGTTTATTTGGGCACTTTTGTTTTTTCTTTGTAGTTTGTGCTAGTTTTTATGTTCTCTTTAAAACTTTAAAGAAAAGAAAGTAGGGTGAAGGAAACTGGATCAGGAAAACTGTAAAGAGGAAACATTCATCTCCCCCAGTGCTTTGGTCCTATCCTGATCTGTATTTCTCTCCTTGCTCTGTGACTAGTTGTGGCTTTTCCAGGAAAAAGAAAAGCCCTCCTTCTATGAAGGAATTGATTAGCAGTTACCATGACTCTTCTGGCTTCAAGAGACTGAATAGTCTCCGTCATGATAATGAGATTCTTTAAATGATTTTCCATTTTATCTATGCATGTTCCTGGGATGCTCTTGAAATTAATAGATACTGGGCAAGTAGAAACCAGCACCCATCAGCATAGGTGAGGAATAGTTCAGCAGCCTTAGAGGTAACTGACCAACCTTGAAGATTCCAGAACACTAAATCAACAAAAGCTGTTACCTGCAGAGAAAGGAAAATAGGCGTTGTTCATTTGGAATTTGCCCTTCTCATTCAGGAAATGACCTGGGTCAAACTTCTCAGGATCTTCCCACCAGAGAGGATCAAAATGCACTGAAACCCCTAATGGAAGAACAGTTGTGCCCTTTAAGGAGACAAAAAGATACAAAAAGCAACTGTGGGTTTTTCCCCCCATAAAGAAACAGGCTGGTTTTAATTCTTTCAAAATGAGATTCTTTGGATGGTGTAAAAGATGCAACTTACAAGATGTTGCCATGCCTAGTGTTTGACCAAAGCATATTTACATATTAAAAGATCCTGTAGAAAATTATGTTAGTTGAAATAAAGAACATAACAAGATTGATTTGTCTGCTATGTTTCACCAAAGTAAACTGCACTTATCCCAGTTTATAATATTAAATGTAATATAATATTAAATATATTATATTAAAATATACAACCTTCAGATTACAAGTGGAATTCAAAGCAGTTCCTAAATTCTGAGGCTGCACTGTTGTTGTTTAAGTTAACAAAACAAATCTGGTCCTAAGAAATTGAAGTGACATTATTAGAAATGCATTTTAAAATTATCTGTTCAAAGAGACCTGGTTCTGCCAGCGGGCCTGGGGAACGCATAGCGGGATGGAGCTCATTAAATGGCTCCTATGATGTGTTGTCGCCAGGGTGGGGGGAATGGGGAGTTATTTTATTAATTTATTATATATGATTCTCTTTTTTTATTAGTTTTATTGTTTTTATATAATGTTTTTATATTCTTGAGTAGCCATGTACGAATAGGCGGCAATATAAATCTCCTAAATAAATAAACTTACTCCTTTCCTCCAACAGACAAAAAACCTTGTTTTGAAATATTTTAGAAATACTTTCTAATTATATTATTATTGTGCCTGTTAAGTTTGAGCAATGAGAGGCTGAACCAGAGCATGAGTGCAACAATACTTTATTACAATAATAAAGGGCTGACCGTGCTTGCCACGCCTGGAACTGGCTCGCAGCAATCAACAACTGGTTGGACCCCGCAGCCTGCTTTTATAGCTGGCTGCTGGAGAGAACCAACCAATGAGGATGGGGGAATAACGCCCACACAAAGTGAGTGGACCTGAGTGAGAACTCCTAGAGTCCTCAAGACATAACACCCCTTCCCCCCAGATGCGAACATGCATAGTCCTTGAGGTAGACGGGGGGTTTGTGTTGGCGCCCGGAACGGCGCAGCTCGGGAACATTGTCTGTCTGTTCGGTATCAGTCTGCGACGGTTGAGCCGGCATAGTGTCGCCAACGCTCTCTCCGGACTGGGCATCCTCGGAAACCACCGGGTTGGTTACTGGGGTCGAACTCTCGTGGGTTGGATCAGGCTGGTCAACTCTCTGGGCGCTGTTGTCCGAGTTCGGGCTGACTGGAACGACTGCTGGTGCAGACTGGTCGTTGGGTGCGATGTGGCTGGGCGGCGGATGAGGCGGTTCCCCTTCGACTGGAGACTCTGGATTCTTGTTGGCAAGGGTGCTGAGGCGCCTTCTAAGCTGGTCTATGTGTCTCCTCCAGACGCGACCATCCTCCAGCCTGACCCTATACGATCTTGGCCCGGTGACGGCGATGACCTCGCCTGGAATCCAAAGTGGGTCCCCAGCGAAATTCCTTGCGAATACTGGCTCCTGTAACATAAAATGTCTAACCCCCGAAGTAGAAGCGAGGGGAGAGTCAGGGCAGTATTGTGGGTGCAGTCTGTCCAATACAGTCCTCAGGCGCCGGCCCATCAGGAGTTCCGCTGGGGACTTATTGGTGACTGCACAGGGGGTTGAGTGCTGGCTCATCAGGAACCGTGAGAGTTTGTGGTGCCAGTCATCCCTGCCAAACCTAGCGAGGGCCTCTTTGGTGGTCCTGACGGCCCTTTCAGCCAACCCATTACTGGCAGGGTGAAATGGGGCTGTGAAAATGTGTCGAATGCCCAGGTTGGCAGCAAAACGGCTGAATTCTACTGATGCGAACTGTGGGCCATTATCGGAGACAATGGAGTCGGGCAGTCCATGTGTAACGAACAGGCGCGTTAACACGTTGGTGATTGCTAGTGTGGTGGTCGTGGATAGCTGCGCCACGTCTATCCATTTGGAATAAGTGTCCACGACCACTAGGAACATCTTTCCATGCACGGGGCCGGCCAGATCGATATGGATTCTAGACCAAGGGGCGCTGGCGCTCTCCCATCTGGTAGGGGTGGCGATGGGGGGAGCAGGACGGGATTCCTGGCAAATGCTGCAGGAACTTACCCAATTGACAATGTCCTCGTCTAGACCCGGCCACCACACGTAGCTGCGTGCTAACGCCTTCATTCTCACGATGCCGGGGTGTCCCTCGTGCAACGCCTCCAGGACTCGGGTACGCAGCGAGGTCGGAATGACCACTCGAGTGCCCCACAGTAGACAACCCTGCAAACTGGACAGCTCCTGCATGCGAGTCTTAAAGGGTGCGAATTTGTTATCAACGTTGCCTCCCGGCCACCCCCTCCTCACCCAGTCGAGCACCTGGGCGAGCGTTTGGTCTGCCTTGGTCTTAGCGGCGATGTCAAGGGCGGTGATGGGCAGGTCCAACTGGGTGATCTCGAAAATGGCGTTGACAGGAGCTGGGTCTTCAGCCGGAGCGGGTAAGGGACAGCGACTGAGAGCGTCGGCGTGGGATAAAGTTTTGCCCGGGCGGTGAATAAGTTTGTATGAGTAGGCTGCTAGGAAAAGTGTCCACCTAGTCATCCTAGGGGAAAGGACTTGAGGGGTCTGTTTGTCGCCGGCCAGTAGGCCCAGGAGGGGTTTATGGTCGGTGACCAGTTCGAAGAAGTGGCCAAAAAGGAATTCGTGAAACTTTTTCACGGCCGCAACAGCTGCTAGGGCTTCCTTGTCTATCTGGCTGTAATTTCGCTCCGTGGTCGAGAGCGTCCTGGAGAAAAAGGCGATGGGAGCCTCGGCGCCATTGGGGAGTCTGTGACTAAGGACCGCCCCAATTCCAAAAGGGGATGCGTCTGCTGCCAGTACTAAAGGAAGGTTGGGGTCGAATTGGATGAGCACTGCCTCTGACGTAAGTAGTGATTTGACGGCGTTAAACGCCTGGTCTTCTTTGTGCCCCCAGTGCCATGGTGACTTTTTGTCTAGTAATCTGTGTAAGGGTTCGGCTACTGAGGCTTTATGGGGCAAGAAGGAGGCATAAAAGTTCAGCAGCCCCAAGAAAGCTTGTAGCTCCGTTTTGGAGGTTGGTGTGGGAGCTTCGTGGATTGCCCTAACCTTGGACTCCAGGGGGTGAATGCCAGAGGCGTCAATTTTATAACCCAGAAAGTCCACCTGTCTAGTGGCAATGGCGCATTTTTCTTTTTTTAACTTGAGGCCATGCTGTCTGAACCTCTCTAACACTGCTCGCACTCTCTGGAAGAGTTGGGGTCTGTCCCTGGCCGAGACCAAGATGTCGTCGAAGTAGGGTACTACACCAGGGAGGCCCTGTAAAATCCGCTCCATGAGGGATTGAAAAATACCCGGGGCCACACTTACGCCAAATTGGAGACGCTTGCATCGGAAGGCACCCCTGTGAGTGACGATGGTCTGAAGTTCCGCTGTTTGGTTATCAACAGGGAACTGCTGATATGCTTGGGACATGTCCAATTTAGCAAAAATACTGCCCGGCTCGAATGTGTGTAATAAGTGCTGAATGACGGGCACCGGGTAGGCGCTAACTTGTAAATATTTATTGATTGTTGTCTTGTAGTCCGAGCAAATTCTCAGGCTACCATCTTTTTTAAGGGGTGTGACAATGGGCGTCTCCCACTTGGCGAAATCTGTTGGCTCAATGACCCCTTGTTTTAATAGTTTATCCAATTCAGCGTCTAGTTTTGGCCGAATAGCAAATGGAACTCTACGTGGTTTTAATCTGATTGGGACTGCCTGGGGGTCAACGGAGAACGAGATGGGGGTTCCATTATAACACCCCAGCTCCTCGCTGAACACATCTGCGTAGTCAGCGAATAAGGAGTCAGTGTCTGAGGTTGAGACAGCATGGACTCCTGTTAGCCCTAGGCCGAGGTGGGGAAACCAATCGAGCCCCAATAAGGTGGGTAGATTGCCGTTAACTACCACTAGAGGTAGGTGGCCTTTAAAAGCTCTAAAACTGACAAAGAACTTGCCTCTGCCGATCACGGGAATGGCCTTCCCCTGGTAGTCCTTCAGACCGAACTGGCATCTCTGAAGCCGGGTAGTAGATAGGCTGGGGTGGAGTCTCTTGAGGGTGTTCCACGAGATTATTGAGAGCGCTGACCCTGTGTCAACCTCCATGTGGCACGGTTTACCTTCTAGGGAAACGGAGAGAGAAATTTTACTAACAGTGTGGCAAGTACGCCTGGCAAGGCGGTGCGTGCGACAGTTTAATACTTGCCTCTGTGGTCCCGAGTGCGAGGAAGGGGGTCTGTGTGCAGCGCTTTGGGGGGCTTGGCAGACTCTCGCGATGTGCCCCCTCTTATGGCAGTTGTTGCAGGTGGCTCCTTTAAACTTGCAGGTGGCCCTTTGATGCGATCCCCCACAGGCTAGGCACAGTGTGATGTGCTTGGGTGGACCGGTGTTTTCTTGTTTGCCCCCTACCTGTGACCGTCTGTCGTTGGCGAGGCGGTGGACGTCGTTTTCATCGTTGTGGGTTTCCTCCGCTTCCACCTCTTCGGAATGGACTGGGAACGATGCCAACTTGGCACTTGGGCCCTGAATTTCGGTGGCTGCGTTCGTTGCTAGCTCGGATGCTAGGGCCTCCTCGACCGCCTGCGCGAGGTTGAGGTCTTTCTTTGCCAGCAGGCGCCTCTGTAGGTTGAGATCCTTGACCCCACAAACTAATTGATCGAGGAGCATGTCCTCCAGGTACGTTCCAAACCCGCAGTGCAGGGCTGCTGTTCTGAGGGCGGCCATATATTGATTGATGGTCTCCTTACTCGATTGCTTCCTCATACGGAACGTGAATCTCCTGGCGATTTGTGAAGGCCTGGGAGCGTAGTGGTTAGTGAGGATCTCAAGCAACTCGGACCACGGAACGTTTTTCAACTCTCTAGGCGCCACGAGTGCTGCGGCGGTGTCGTAAACGGTGGCTCCGCAGTAGATTAGGAAATAGGATTTTTTCCGATGCTCTCCTGCATCCGCCAGGCCGACCGCATCGATGTAATGATTGAAGCGGTTCTTATACGATTCCCACTTCTCTTCGTCTGGTTTGAACGCCGGGAATACTGGGTTGGAACTCATGGTGCTGGAACGGCTGGGCTACCTGCGGAAAAAATCTCTCTGGGACAACGGGCTCTCGTGGGTTACTAGTGATATCAGCTCTGGAGAGGTTTTTTTTTGCTACCCTCTCTTTCTCTCTCTGGGTTACCACGTGGCTCTTAGCCGTTGGAGGTGTCTCGATTCGCGCCAATGTGGGCGTTAGTGACTTCCTACAGCGCTGTGCTGTGTCTCAAACTGGCTCAAAATTCAAATGACACCCGTTTGAATTTCGCGCCAAATACAGAGCGGCTGCGGCTCGCAGCGCTTCACTTTCCCTGTAGCGGGGCTAACAAGCGGCTACAGACGCTTCTAACTTTTGAACCAGACCGCTTTCTCTGGCTGCGGATCAACGTTTGCTCTTTTTGATCGCTCGTTTTGTTGGCTGACCGCTCTCTCTGGCTGCGGATCAGCGTTTCTCTTATCACCAGCCGATCGCTCTCTCTGGGCTGCGGATCGGTGGCTAGTGACTCAGCGGTTGCATGGTGCTTCTGGTAGCCATCCCATCCTCGTCGCCAGTGTTAAGTTTGAGCAATGAGAGGCTGAACCAGAGCATGAGTGCAACAATACTTTATTACAATAATAAAGGGCTGACCGTGCTTGCCACGCCTGGAACTGGCTCGCAGCAATCAGCAACTGGTTGGACCCCGCAGCCTGCTTTTATAGCTGGCTGCTGGAGAGAACCAACCAATGAGGATGGGGGAATAACGCCCACACAAAGTGAGTGGACCTGAGTGAGAACTCCTAGAGTCCTCAAGACATAACAGTGCCACCTTGGCACATCAGCATCATTTTTTTTTCAAGACTTTAACATATTTTATACAGAATGAGGTTGGGGAATAAAAATATCCCAAATTGATACAGAAGGCTGGGACAGAGACAATAGGGGCCTAATTTAATGCATTACAGTTATTCACTGATAATGCCAAACTCGGCCTTCTCCATTCTCTGGCAGACCTTCCTTTCAGCTTGGTTTTTCTTGCAGATATTTCATTATTGGATTAACAATGTCATCAGTGCTCTGAAGTGTGGAAATTACGTTGGTTTGCTGTTTATGGATGTGTGGCTTTGGGGAGATTTTTTTTTTCCTTGACTGCTCCTGCTTATTTGAGTGTTAGATAAAGGGTATATAATGGGGAGGATGTGCTCAGAGCTGTTGCCACTTGCTTTCTTCTTTGATTGTTCATCTTAAAATGATATATACATTTGGTTTATTACTGTTTGTCTGTTCGTGGGTAATTTTTCAGTGACAAAATTCTAGAAATTCTGTTGCATTCTGCAGCCTATCTTGATCTAAGAAGTCCAAAGCTTCCCATTTTACTGTGTGGTATTTTAATACAATCACAGTGGAGATGATAGCATGCAATATCACAAATCATTGTGAAAGTCTTTTTTTTAAAAAAAAAAAGACATGCATACATAGTTTTAATTAGAAAGCAAAAATAGAACATCCAGTGCTCCCAGGAAGCTGTTATAAGAAAGGAGGTTCTAAAGCATTGTTTTATTATTATTATTATTTTCTTTTGATCAATCTTCAATTTTAGATGCTTTTCAAGTTTGCTAAAAATGGTTTGCTATCAACTTCTTCCTAGATTGAGAGTGAATGACTGGCCCAATGTCACTTGGCTGGCTTTGTGACCAAAGCAGGACTAGAATTCATAGTCTTCTGATTTGTAGCCTGATACTTTGTTTTGATACACTAGATCAAACTGACTCTGTTTTGTGATATATTTTATGAAGAGAAATTCAATACTCCCACAAACCATTATTATTCTCCTATCAGGAAACCAGAATTCTGGAATCCAAAGGAAGCAGACTAAATTCACTTATCCAATTTTACTGATGATATTTCTTCATCCTTTTTGGCATTTGAGGAAAGATTCCCAAAATTTTATTATGAATAAAAATGATAAAGAGACAACTAAACATCCTCAGGTCTTTGGTGCAAACAGAAAAGAATTAACTTTTATAGTTAAGAACTTTAATAGAATTCAGTGAATCTATCTCTGCCAGAATTGAAATGTCTAGGACTACAGGTGAAATTTGCAAATAAATAACGCATACTGTCAAATCCAATGGCCTAAAGTTCAAATGATGTTCAGACAATATAAGCAGCAGCTATTACAGAAGGTTGACTATACTGCAATTATAGATAAGATCTGTATGCAAAGGAGATCCCAGACATTCGCTGATTTATCATACCTGAGGAATGAAGTGTCCTCTGAAATTCACATCCTGAGTTGTCATACGTGGGAAGTTCTCAATACTTGCTTGCAGGTAACGTAAGATCTCATGAATAACTGCCTTGGTATAAGTCATCTCCATTCTATCCTCCATGCAGGGGGCACGGTTTGTTCCCACAACCTCATCAATTTCCTGCTGGGCTTTTGCTATAATGAAACATATTTTGTTCAAGCAAACAATATTATTTTTTAAAACTATTCCAACTGCACTGATCTATAGATACAAATCATCAAAATGAGCACTCTAATTTCTTACTTCCCAATTTCATAGCTCTTTGAGCTCATTCACATAGCATGTTTACCATCCTTTGCTTCCTGGTTGGGAAGAAAGCAGATCAACATAAACACAGTGTTCCACCTTGTGCCCTTAAAGGATAAGCAACCAAGGCCATCCATTTAGCTTCTTTGCCTGATACTGTAAGGGCAGTGACTAGCAATTTTCTCTGGTTGGATATAGAATTGCATCCAATCATTTTCTCGCACTACTCTCTTTCCTGCCTCCCTAGAGAATTACCCTGTTAACCATTAGATGGCAGCAAATAGTTCATCTCTTTAACTGCAAACTAGCAATCATCTATATTTGTGTAATTCTGATGCAGCGGCTGCATTAATGTTCTTGGAGTCAAAGTTCAAGAAAAGGATTTTGGTACACGAGGGAGGCTTGTTTTCTGTTACAACCACACAGATTCTCCAAATGATAGCATATACCCTGCTCTAATCATAGAAAGGGGTAGAAGAAGAAAAACACAGCTGTATTTTGAAGTTTTATCTGTATCAAGTTACCTTCAATGATGCACCACACTTTACAAGACAAGTTACATGAGAAGACAAACTGATGAGTCGGAGCTTCCCCAAGAGCAGTGATGGCCACTGGGAAAGTACTAGGACATTCAGAAATCTGAGGACTGGTTAGTTGTCAAGTACCATTTTTTTCATTGTACAAGCGGTTGTTAAACAAAGACTGCATATATTTAAATATGGGAAGCATTCTCAAACGTTGTTAAAACTGTTCCATTTATGTATAATGTCAGCACAGTCTGCTGAGCTGGGACAATATTGGTGTATTATCATAATAATTTTAGTCACAATATTTCATATGCCTGATATAACAGAATAATAGAGTTGGATGGGACCTTGGAGATCTTCTAGCCCAACCCCTGTTCAAGCAGGAAACCCCATACTATTTCAGACAAATGATTGTCCAATCTCCTCTTAAAAACCTTCAGCCACAACTTCTGGAGGCAAGTTGTTCCACTGATTAATTATGGGGGTGCCTTACATTCTGTCCTTCATAACAGGCTAATTTTTGCTGTACATTATTCTAAGCGCTATCTACAGGTGTATGCTGTAGAAACATATTTAGGCGAATGTGACATTTATATTAGGTTTCTATTATTTGAAACAAAGTCTCTTTAAAATATTTATTTGAAAGTTGTGGTCATGAACACATTGGCTTGTCACTCTAAATATTTGGAAACAGCATAGAAACAATGGCCATGGAAAATACCAACTTGCATTTGCAGTGTATCTAGGAATCTATATTTGAGTGGGACAATATAAAGAAAGGTAATGACTCCATATACCTTGGATATGTGAAAACTTGGCCAAAATGATAAGGCCAAAAGAGATGGTAGTGCCTGTGCTTTCTGTCCCGGCAAGAAAGATGTCAAACACAGACATAACCAAGTCTTCCATACAGATTACAGAAGAAACTTGTTCCTATAAAGTAAGGCAAGAATTAAAAAAAGAGGCAGAAGTTTGTAATGTGCAGCCACATAATCATGTCATCAAATCGTCCATTTGCTTCTTCTCACTTTATTTTTCTTCTAGACCAATTTATAAGGTAGGCAGGGAATAATCCAAGATAGACTCCTGCATATTCTCTATGTTAATTTGAATGCCCAGTTCAACTTGAGGTCAGATGGATCAATGTCTGAATGAAAGAGAAACAGCTGGGACCCAAATGAGCTGGCTTGGTCTAGTGGTTAAAGCAGCAGGCTAGAAAGCAGGAGACCATGAGTTCAAATTCTAGCTTAGCCATGAAAGCCAACTTGAGTGATCTTGACCAGTCACTCTTTTACAGTCCAACCCACCTCACAGGGTTGTGGTATTGGAAAATAGAAAAAGGAAAGTGTATTACACATGTTCACTGCTGTGAGTTATTTGTAAAAATAAAGGTATGAAATTAAATAAAACAAAACAAACAGCTTATTTTTCTGCCTTGTATTATCCATTCTTTCCTGAGTATGCTACCAGGAACCCAGCAATGTCACCCAAACGTTTTCCTTTATCTCAGGCTACCCAAGGGATCATCCCCCCCTCCCAATGGGATTGGTCTGTCATGTCTGCTGTGGCAGAAGAAGCATTATCTGAATACCATGGGCCAAGGAATTGCAGGAGAAGGGGCTTTTTTTGCTTTGTCTCTTGCCCTCTGGAACATCATGTGGTTGTAATTTGTATTCACTTTGCTGTTACTTTTAATATTTTCAGTTTCACTGTCCAATGTTTATAACCATTTAATTGTTTTATACCATTATCATTGTAAACTGCCCAGAGTTGCTTGATAGTGAGATAGGTGGCATATAACTTTAATAAATAAATAGAATAGAGCATCCATCTCCATCTTACAACTGAGCTTTTGAAATCTGGCTCTGAAGTATTACATTCAATTTATAAACTCTCTTTTCTCAGATATTCCCTACCATAATCCTTTTCTATTCTAGCCAAGTTACGGCCACAAGGCTTTGCTTCCATTCATGCTGAAAGAGCATTTGCTATCTCATGATTCAACAGCATCCACATTAATCTTACACTCAATATTTTGCTGGCAACCATCTAGTAACCTGGCATACCGTTGAGCTTTTTCATTTGATACCAAGTAGCTTAATACTTACGTAACCGATGGATAATTTCCCTGTGTTGGGACTACAATCTCTTTTATCAGCAGGTGGGACACAGGAGGTTTTCCAGGCAGAGTCCTACAAGGACAGGGACATTTTTAAAACCTGTCCTCCTTTTTTTAAGAGTGGGAAAACACATAGGAGTCCTTTGATAGAAACAGTTCTCCTATCTCCACATTTAATAAGTTCAAGGATCACACAACGACTCATATTTAGTAGGTGGAATTCTTTTGTTTGTATGTTATTTTAGGTAGATCGGATAATTACAGAAATAGGAGATACAACCCATGGTTCAATTCCCAGTCCCACCCTAATTGTGACACAAACCACCACCACCAATAAAATAGCATTCTATCACCATGCAGCTCCTGAAATCTTCTCTAAAAGTTGGCCACTGATTATAGTTTAAGTGCAACAAAATGAATTCTTATTTAATTTATTTCAAAGCAATTCTATTACACTCAGTTCTTGTTCAATCATTTAGGGAGCATAATCCAAAGCCCATTCTCTTCAGGACTCCCAGCCCTGACAACATTCCTCTGCTCTGCAGATTTACCTACTACCAAGCTGGCTCCTAGCAGGATGCAGATGTGGTCTATGGTGCCTCCTTTAGTGCTGAAAGGGAAACGAAAGGGCAGAGCCACACTAGCGTTTCTTAAGGAGTGAATTTGTTCATTTACAATGGCCACTACTCCATACTTTATTGTAGTATGTATAATAGAGTTGGAAGATATTAGATCTTTTACTTTCTGTCTGAATAATACAAATTGGTCATCTCCATGGGCATCTCAAGAAAACTCAAAACACAAGTGCATACTTGAAACCTTTTTCCTTTTGTACTTGTGTGCAACATGTCTTTGCAATGGTACCTTTTCTAATTTAATAAGGAAGCAATCAATAAAGTCTCTAGGATTCTCTGGATCCAGGGTCTTCTTGTGAGAGTCCACTTTACTTCTAATGAAGTCACAGACCTTGTTACAGTCAGAGAAGACTTTCTTATGAGGCCCAGGAAGGAAGTTCATGATATTTGGCAAAGCACTGTACATCTGAAACATAGTGATAGTAAAAGTTAGCCATTGCTACCATAGTTCATTTCTTGGGCTGTGCCTCAGGAACTGCACAGAAAAAAATGATTTCCCTTTAAAGGTGCCCTTTTATTTTTTTATCCTTTTTAAAAAAAAACAAATGACATGCAAGGCCAAATATAGATATATTCATTTTATTCTGCTGTGGGCCCTTACCAAAGAAATACAAAATATACTATTAAAATGGGTGCCCTCAACCCTTAACTTTCAAAACATATTGTCCCATAGAGCAATATGTTTTGAACCAAGACACTTCAGATGGACTAACTTGCAGAACGCATCCAAACTCTGGGATCCATGATCCATGTCAGAGGATAGGGCATAATACAAAATGTCATAAAACATTCCCTATGCTGATGTTTGACTGTGCTTTAAAGTTTAGTGTGGGCAATATTTAAGACAGATAAATTTGTGGATATCTTGCTGAATTTTTAAGAACTTTTTAAGTGAAGGCAGTACATTAGAAAATCTTGAAAACATTGAGGAATCTGGTTAGGAAATTACTACTTTTCTAGCAAGGTGTCATATGTCAACTGAGGAGGAGGAGTTGTTATATATTGTATGTGGTCAAGGATTGTCTAGTATAATATATAAGTTCATAGATCCAAAGTTGATTTAGTTATGATTCTTTGATGAGCAGTTCTCAGTTGCCACTATGAGAAATATATGAGCAATTATTTATGAATCCCTCTATGAAATGGGCAGCTGCAATAGTTAGCTGAAAAGCAGGGCTGAAGCTTTATGCATCTTTGATAACTCTGGAAATAATCACTGCTCGCTAAGTAGCAACAAATGAACTAATCAGGAGCAAGAGAAACAGTCACATGAACAAGAAATAAAGTGTGATTCTCAGAAACACACCTTTTATAAGGCCACTTTAAAAATCACCCATTTTTGTTGGTCAAAGGGAACTAACTGAAGCCTCTTGTTCTTAAACAAAGTGAAAACCCTGCTTTTAGAAGCACATAAAGTCAACATACCACTCCAGGAATGCTCAGGAAAAAACCATTAAATGTCTTAAAGATGTCCAATAGTTCAGTGAAATTTTTGTCTTCATAAGAGAATCGATTCCCAAAGACAACAGAGCACATCACATTAGAAATAGATGCTGTGATGGCTGGGACTATATCAAAGGGCTGACCTGAAACAGCAAAAAGAAAGGAGAAAATAAATTGTGTGACCATATTTTGCATCTCCAAATCCTTTGCTCTAGACATTTTGTTAATTTTGTTTTACATTCTATTTGGGACAATGTCTGTCTGGGATTTGGGATTCAACATACAATGTGCACCATCCAGTTACGTTTCAACCTGCTTTTTAATTGTTGATGAGCTACCTTCAGGAGTGGAGTGGAGTAGAGTAGAGCAGTGGTGGCATTCAATTTTTTTTTACTACCGGTTCTGTAGACATCGCTTGGTGGGTGTGGTGGGGAAGGATCGTGTAAAATCTCCAGCCAGAGGTGGTATTTGCCGGTTTTCGAACTACTCAGAATTTCTGCCATTGGTTCACCAGAACTGGTCAGAACCTGCTGAATACCTCCTCTGGAGTAGAGTAGAATAGAACAACAACAACAGCAACAACAACAACAATCACCATCATCCCCCAGTGAGATGCTAGCTTGATGTGGTTTGGGGGCTTGTGTGTTTTGAGGAAGATAAGAACTATGCCAGAGATTCAACCCTACTGGACGGATCTCATCAGAAGAACCAGACAAAGAGTGTACTGTTCCATTTAAAAATATGGTGAGACATAAATTTCAGAAAGCCATACTGTCTTGGATGTCACTCAGGTTAACAAGGTCCATGCTAGAACAAATGAAAGAAAAGAAGCTGAAGAATCAGAAGACCAAAGAATACCTAATCAAGAAATTCCACTTAGAAACAAAGAAGATCAAGGAAAGACTGGAAATAATAAAGTGGCAAATAACAGCTATAGCCACAAAGATCAGCAGATACGAAGCTCAAATTGTAAATTATAGGCAGAACCTCCAATTTCAATCCAATCAGAAACATTTTGACCAATACATCAATGGAGAAAGTGCAATGAATCAGTATCTGACAAAGAAAAAACAGTGCAGTTCTGGGTATAGATAACCCAAAGAAATACAACAAGGATGCAATTTGGTTAAAAGAAGTGGATAACAATAAAAAAAAGAAGTTGAAATGAAAGAACTAGTAGTAACAGCAGATATGGTAGGGAAAAGAGCAGGAAGGTCAAGAATTGGTCAGCAACAGGTGAAGTTTAAGTGCATGATTTTTGGTTGAAATATCTAGCTGGTCTATACTCACTCATTGCCAAGCAGTTTAACAACATACTACAAGGAGGTGAAATTGAAGAATGGCTAACATCTGGCAGAACCTACCTGATAATTGAAGATTCAGCAAAAAAAAGGGTAGCACCAGGCAACTACAGGCCAATTACCTGTTTACCAACAACTTTCAAACTGCAAATTGGTGTGCTGATGCAATCCAACAGCATCTAGTTGAAAACAATATCTTTCCACCTGAACAGAAAAGAAACTGCCCAATAGCAGAGGAACAAAAGATTAACTCCTAATTGACAAAATGATTTTGGAAAATTGCAAGAGAAGGAAGTCCAACCTAAATGTAGCATTTGACTGTCTGCCACATGACTTGATAATGAAGTGCTTAGAAATAACAGGAGTTGATAGAACCATCAGAAGCTTTGTGCAAAGACTGATGACTCAATGGAAGACATAGTTGCAGGGCAATGGTGAGAGACTGGGGGAGGTTAATATAAAAGAGGTATATTTGAAGGAGATTCACTATCACCATTATTATTTGTCATTGCACTGTCTCCTCTATCAACAATACTGAATAATTCAGGCCATAGCTATCAAACTTCAAAAACACCTGCCAAACTATCCAACCTCCTTTACATGGACAATCTGAAGCTGTATGGAAAAACACCTTAGCTGCTCAACACTGTTCATAGATATAGCCAAGATATTGCAATGGAATTTGGATTGGACAAATGTGCCATGCTCACTATCAAACAAGAAAAAGTAGTGAAAATTGAGGGAATCAAGATGCCCCACAAAAATAAAATTAAGAGTCTGGATGAAGATGATTACTACAAATAACTGGGTATCTTCAAGCTGACAATATCAAACACACTGAAGTCAAAAAAAAGATTAGAAGTGAATACATCAAGAGAGTGAAGAAGATCTTAAAGTCAATGGAGAAAATACCATCAAGGCCTGGGCAATTCCAGTTATTAGATACACAGCAGAAACAGTGGACTGGACTCAAGCAAAACTAAAAGCAATGGATAGGAAGACCAGGAAAATAATGACAATGAATCATGCCCTTCATCCTCAGTGTAACATTACCTACCAAGGCAAATAGGCAGGCATGGAATGTTGCAAATACATCAGATGGTTGAAGAAGAAAAGGGGGCTTTGGAAGAATATCTGAAAAACAATGAAGAAGATACACTGAAGTAAGTATGCCAGGAAGGCTTCCTGGTTACCAAACCGGCCTTCAAAAAAGACCAAATGAAGAACAGAATGGAGGCATGGGAAAACTATATGGCCAGTACATTAAAAAAATAGCAGGGAAAGCAAATAATAGCAAGAACAGGAAAGTTGAAGAAAGAGACTAAGGGACTCATTCTGACTGCACAAGGCCAACCCTTAAGAACAAATGCATACAAAGCCAGACTTGACAAGATAGCAATAGACAGTAACTGCCACCTATGCAAAGAAGCTGAAGAAACAGTACCTGGTAAGCTGTGCAAGATGATTGCACAGACTGACTACAAGCAGCAACATGACAAAGTAGCAACAATGGTACACTGGAAAATCTGCAAGAAATATTATTTGCTTGCAAGCAAGAACTGGTGGGACCATAAAATAGAGAAAGTCACAGAAAATGAAGAAGCTAAATTGGTCTGGGAATTCAAACAGATAGGCATCTACCACATAACACTCCAGACTTAACAATTGTCAATAAAAAGGACAAAAAAGGGTGGTAGTACCTTAAGACAGCAGAGTAGAACTGGAGAAGATAAAATCTAAAGACCTACAAATAGAAATAGAACAACTGTGACAAAAGTAAACAAAGGTAGTACCAATAATAATAGCCACCTTGGGTGCAATTCTAAAACAACTAGAGCACCACTTGAACACCATTGACAGCTTCACCATCAATCAATTGCAAAAGTTGGCCTTGCTTGAAACAGCTTCCATCCTGCAATGATATCCATCAAACATCCAGTACTGCCTATCCCAGGTCCTCAAAAGGATTCAAAAGGTGGACAGGTTTTACTCAGAATCGCTTACATCATGCAACAATACCTCTGACACCATAAAGAGCAATATCTGCCTAAGCCAAATCCTTGAGAAGGACTTGATAGAAAAAAAATGTCAACTCCCATTGGAGTATCTGGCTGAGTGTGCAATGAAAACATAATAATACTAGAAGTGTACAATCAGTAGAAGTGGAAAATAAGAGATAATATAAGTATAAATGGGTTAATATAGGTTAATATAACCAGAAGGGCAGAATATTGCTTCAACAGAGGCCAAATATTATTAATAAATAAACATGTAGCAACCTTACAGTATTGTTGAGAGGCAAATAGAGGCAGGAACACTATGCCTTGTGTTGCAGATGTGAAGGCAGAATATAAATAAATAAATAAAATCTCCTACAAAATGAGATCACCTTCAAAGGTTGATATCTTCCCCACCAAACAGTGAGCCTCTTCCAATATTCGTTCAGCCATCGACCTCTTTCCCATTCCAAAGTTCCGTAGTGTGGTGAGAGCAAAACGACGCAAAACCTTCCATCTTTCATGTTCACTAATAAGCCCTAGAAAGAAAGAGGTTGCAATAAGAGACAACAGACAGTGAAACATTTTTTAAAAGAATAAAAAAGCTAATTGACCAATAGTCTCCCTCATTCTCAAAACATCTCGGGAAGGGTTAGGGTTATCTAGCTCTAGGAGGTGGTGCTCATCTGTTTCTTAGCCGAGAGATCCAAAGTTGTCTGAGGACATTTCTGTGGTCATGACTATACACTGAGGCACACGGAATGCTGTTGCCTTCCCACTGAAGTGGTACCTATTTATCTACTCACATTTGCATGTTTTCTCACCCTGATGCACATCACTTTGGTTCAAATCCGGATGGTCAGCTTTAAAGATGACAAGCTCAGCATCTTTAACCATCCCACCCCTTCCAAAACATTTATCCTTTTCAAATGTCACTGCTCCTGTAGGAGCTGCATTGGCTGCCAATTTGCTTCCATGTACAATATAAGGTACTGGTTGCCATCTTTAAAGCCTTTCATGGCTTGGGACTGGGTTTTCTGTGAGACCATATTTTCCTGGTTACATTAACCCAATACATTCATGGTGGGGAGGCAAGGAATGTTGCAAGACCTTTCTCATAAGAAGGTATACCTGGCAGGATCCAGAAGAAGGACCTTCTCTGTGGTGGCCTTCTCCTTTTGGAATATCATCCCTGTAAAGATTAGGCTGGCTCCCACTTTGACACTCTTACCAAGACCCTTGGTTCTGTGAATGGACCAGGGTATGTTATCACCAGGATGGTGGGATTATTGTTCTTTATTCTTTTATACTGGTTTTTTTAGTGTTTCTGAGTCACCAGAGTCATTGAGAATGAGTGGGTAGCTATATAAATCTTCTGAAAAAATAAGTACATAAAATGTAAACATGCATTTCTTTTCCCAGGAGTAACTGATACTTTGATAAAAGGAAAAGAAATTCAATTTGCTCATGAGTTTGCACTATCTTTATTCAGCTTATATACTGGGTAAAGTTACAAAGTCTATGGACATTTGAAAAGGATAGAAGAACTTTCATTTTTCTCAATTTTCCTATTCACTGCTTCACACCCACATACATAAACAGAAACAATATTTGAAAAACAAAACTGTTATTTTCTTCCATTTCATTCTTTATACTACCCAACCTCTCATGTCTTTAACTTCTAAATGGGAAAAATCCTGAAATCATAAGGCAAAACATTGTCAATAAAGGTACTTCAAATGGCCTAATTTACAGAATGCTGGGACCCATTATTTCCCAAATTTGGGGAAGCCCTGGCTCTTTAGCATTGCTGGGTAGCTGCTGGATCAACGATGTGATTGTGCTGCAGGGGTCACATGATCCTCATTTTCAACATTTCCCTGCCAGTCTCCCAACCTCTTTAGCAAGCTGTCATTCCCTCTCCCATCCACATTAATCACTTACCTCTCTGCTGGGAAAGGAAGGGAAGGAGAAAGGAAGAGAAGGGAAGGAGAAAGAAAGGGAGGCAGGGAAAGAAGCAAGGAATGCATTAATAGGGAAGAAGGAACTCTTGCCCACCCCATGCGCCCTCCCTGACCTGTCCATCCATTCTTGTGTGCTCACTGCATGCCATCCTTTACCCACGTGGCATCTCTTGTGCAGGGAGGGAGAAAAGGAGGGGGAAGGGGGAGAGAAAGAAGGAAGGAAAGGTTTTTAATACTTCCTGCAAGCTTCTCACCAGGAAATTCAATTGAGAAGCTAGCAAGAAGTGGCTTGCACTCCCCCTGCTATTTGTTCACCCATGGTCATTTTGCTTATTTGTTTAGGTAAGAAAACACCTTTGAAATGATGACCCAGTGACACACTAGTAGAAAGGTAAAAGTAAAGGTTCCCCTCACACATATGTGCTGATCATTTCCAGGTCTAGTGGGTGGTGCTCATCTCCGTTACAAAGCCAAAGAGCCAGCGCTGTCCAAAGACGTCTCCATGGTCATGTGGCTGGCATAACTAAATGCCAAAGGTGCACAGAATGCTGTTACCTTCCCACCAAAGTGGTTCCTATTTTTCTACTTGCATTTTTACATGCTTTCAAACTGCTAGCTTGGCAGAAGCTGTAACAAGTAACAGGAGCTTACTCTGTTACATGGCATTAGGGATTTGAACTGCCAAACAGCCGACCTTTCTGATCAACAAGCTCAGCATCTTAGCCACTGAACCACTATGACACACTAATATTCTCTGAATTTTTAGATCTTCTGTTCTGGAACTTGACAGTAACCTAGTAACATTCACAACAAATAATAACTTCTACACTATTTTAATGAACAATTCTGCTTACTAATCGTATTGTGCATCCTCCAGCTTGGGAAATGATACTGCAAGTGGCAAAATCTTGATCTGACTTTTCCATCTACATTATTGGTAAACTCTGAAAAGGCCTCCTGATTGCATCACCTACCTCCAAATTATAAACCTTAAAGGGCTTGAGTCTAACTTGTAAGGCTGTACATAGCTTTGTTGGAGTGCTTCTATTCAGCACATCTTCAAACAATTTACAACCTCCAAATAGATTTGCAAATAGTATTTGAGGGCTTCAAAGTGTTTTGCAGCATTTTGAAAAGCCACAGAACTTTGAGAGGTTGAATATTGCTCAAAGTTGCAAGTTTGGTATTGAAATCCTGCAGCATCAGGAAAGTACCAAATGACTGCAAAAGAGCTGATATCTTCAAAAAAGGAAAAAAAAATGGTTCCAAGAAACTACAGACACCAATATCTGGGATGATTCTGGAAAAGATAATAAAGCAATGAATAATCTACAGACACCTAAAAGGAAGCAAATTTATAACCAGAAACCAACAACCAACAGAGGTTTGTCAAAAACTGATGATACCAGACAAAATTTTTTCCATTCTTTGACAACATGACAAAAGAGTTTTGTCTGCTTTTCAAGTACCCACAAGAGCTATTTCATTTTTCATTCCTTAAAAAGAATATTAGACACTGTCATTTGTTTAGGAAAGTTAAGGTTTTTATCTTTCCTCTAAATGGGTAACTGGAACTGGAAATCAAAGTGCAAATAATCTGTACACTCACCATAGCCCTTGGTTATTTGAGCAAAGAGAGCTATAGGTGGCCGTCCACTAAATTCTTCATTATGAGTTACCAAAGCATCTCTCACTCCTTCATATCCACAGATCACAACCATTGGCTTTACTCCTAGCCAGATAGTAAAAACTGGACCATACTTCTTAGTAAGCTAAGGACAAAATCAATCAAAAGCATGAGTCAATACAATTTGAGATCTCATTTCTGGATGCAATGTTCTACAAAATCTCTTAATAACTTTAAAAAGTAAGAATGTAAGAATTAATCAGACTTCTTCCCAATCTAACATAAATTATTTGAAAGTACTGTGTTAAATTTTATAGATACAAGTACTAGATAAATTCCTTAGATCAACTTTTCACTGCCTGATGTCTTTCAAGTGAATTTTAATTTATTATTGTCAAAAGCCTTGGGGGCTGAAAATTATAATGGCTGGTACATAATGCATGATTGGTTCAAGAAATGGTGCAGAATAAATTTGCTATGATTAGATTCGTGTTAAAACTAATTTCACTTTTACATTAGAATTTCATTCTGTTTTCTGTATTAAATGTCACAACTGTGGGATTTGTACACCAGGCTACAAAATGCACTGCTTAATGAGAGTTAATTTATTTCTATCTTGCCTTTTTATTTGTACAAATAATTCAAGGTTCTAAACATATTCAACACACCTGCCTTCTTTTATTTACCCCAAAATAATCACCCTGTGATGTGAGTTAGGCTGAAAGAGAGTTATTTCCCAATTCCCAGTGTTGGGAGGGAAAGAGGGGGAAAAATTAGAAGAAAGGCATGAAAAAGAAATGGGATTAAATAAATAAAAGGGAACTTCAATCATCCTTGCCAAAAGCTTTGGTGGGTTTGTGTTCAAGGACCTTTGAGGTACCAGCAAGATCAAGGCCATTCAGATGTAGGGGGAATCTCATTCCAGAAGGCAGGAAGTGCTACAAAGAGGCATATTTCGGGGCACTAATAAATGCTGTTGAAGGAACCCAGAACTGCTAACCATGGAGGACCAAATCAGCTGGGCAGACACAATGGAAGACAAGTGCTCCCTCAAGTAACCAGACTCTACAAACTCAATTGCGTCAAGTGATGTATCATGATATATCACAATATTTTTTCTTTGTGAAGCCAGGATGGGTGTAGCCTAAATGACACATCTGGCCTGTGGGCCACCAGTTTGATACCCCATTCTACAAAATTCATACGTTTCATAGGTCATAATCAGCACCTTGAATCACACCTAGAAGCAAATCAGAAACTAGTACAGCTTGTGAAGTAGGGGCATTATATATGAAGGTATGTCCATCATTACTCAGGCCACCACATTCTAGACCAGTTAAAGTTTTGAAGTTGTCTTCAATGGAAGCACCATATGGACTACATTGCAGTAGTCAAGGTGTTATGTCTCCTCTTGGAAATTCAAACGAACAAACACAAAGCAGCCGTTTCACAATCAAATCAAACTGAAGGAAAATAACAAGATAACGGCTGGCAGAAACTGTTAGGACTCCCCTTCAAAATTCAAACAAACAGAGATCTCTTTGCAGTAACGTCCTCATTCAAAATAGTCATTTTGTTTCTGGCAAAAGGCACCAGCTCAGTTGTGTCCTTTTATACCCATTAAGGCAACGTGCTAATTAACTGGCTTGCCCTTCAGATTAACGTTTCCTGGTTCTGACGTCAATCCACGATCTAACAGTCATCAGATTCAAAACTCCTAACAGGACCGATCCTTCCAATCACAACACTATCCCCCACCGCAGGGCCCTTCCCCCGAGTCTGATGATTAACTTGACGATGTTTCGTTGACAACCCCACTCTGTCTCCCACAGCCAATGGAGGCGTCGCTCGTTCCAATTGTCTCAGGTGGTCTACACATTGGAGACTTGGAAAAGAAATACCGTTCTGCGACCAAGCCACCAACGGATTGTGCAA